GTTGCAAATGGCAAGATTTCATTCCTTTTGATGGCTGCATAATATTCCATTGTATATATATACCACATCTTCTTTATCCATTCATCTGTTGATGGATATCTTGAGTCAGGTTCTCTTTTAAGCCCTTGACTTACATTAGATCATTTAATTCCCATACCAACGCTAGGAAGTTAACACAGTCATCATGATTCCTATTTCTTTCTTTTTTTTTTTTAAGATTTTATTTATTTATTTATTTGAGAGAGCGAGCGAGAGAGAGCATGAGGAGTGGGGAGAGGCAGAGGGAGAAGGAGAAGCAGACTCTCCACTGAGCAGGGAGCCCGATGCAGGATTCAATCCCAGGAACCTGGAATCATGACCAGAGCCGAAGGCTGAGGTCATGAGATCCGACTGAGCCACCCAGGCTTCCATGATTCCTCTTTCATAGATGAAGAGACTGAAGCTGGAAGGGTTAATTTACCTTGTGCCAAGGCAGAGCTGGGATTTAAACCCAGACATCAGGTCCTCTTCACACTAGCCAATGCTGTTTCTTTTGTTACTGCAGTGATTCAGTGTGAGCCTTTGGAAACCCCTGATTTGGGGAGCATGGACTGTAGTCACCCCTTGGGGAACTTTAGCTTTATTTCCACATGCACCTTCAACTGCTCTGAGGGAACAGACCTCATTGGGATTGAGGAAACCACTTGTGGACCTTTTGGAAACTGGTCATCTCAAGAACCAACCTGTGAAAGTGAGTAACTCTTCAGACTAGAGGTTTTGTCATGGCCGCCTTGGGTTTACAAACTGAGAAAATGCAGTAGAGACTTGCTAAGAAGTCTCTGTCCTCTTTGGAACATAGTTTAATCTAACTTAGATCACACTGTGATGTTTTTTAAAGGGATTGTTGTTGCTCAAATCAAAAAGAAAAACCACAAACAAAAAACAACCAAATATCTCTGAAACCATCTCACAATATGTACATACATGGTGTGATTATACTGTAATTTTTATTTTAGTTTTCTCATTGTCTTGGCAAAAATAGTCTTGCTGAACCTCAGTTAAATGTTGGTTGTTCTGTCCTCTCAATAACTCTTTTTATGTGGCATCTCACTGAACACCAACGAATTTCCTTCCCAGGGGGTTGAGGGTTTTGGTGTTCTTCTTCTTTTTTTTTTTTAAGTGGGCTCCACACCCAGTGTACCCAACATAGGGCTTGAATTCACAATCCTGACTGAGATCAAGACATGAGCTGAGATTAAGAGTCAGACACTTAACCACCTGAGCCACCCAGGAGCCCCAATAGAAGGTTTTTTTGATTGTTTTATTTGGTTTATTCTTAAAATCATTTTTACTTTTCCTCCTCTGTGAATTCTCAGGGGAATAACAACCACTGTGAAAAACAAACACATAGTTTCTTGATCTTTTTTTTTTTTTCATTTGAAATGTGGTGGGTTTTTCTTTTTAACTGTCAAGAAGACTATCCCTATATGGGAGAAAACTGGCGGCATCTGTACCTGTGAAGTTTTGGTTACATTTTCTACATTTATGCATCTGACTCACTAATTTTAAGTGGTTTAGTTCTCAAAAAATTATCAAAATCATATTGAAATCATAGAACTAAGTTGCCCAACAAGTTGCTGAATTTACAAAAGTTGAGTGACCTGCTTCAGAGAATGAGGGTGTTTTTCAACACTGCTTGTCAAGTGAAAGGGTGGGAATTCTCTGCATTCACTGAGCATATTCCATGAGAGCTCTTGAGGCCAAGGCCATGTAGCATGGCACACTTTCAGCTGGAGAGTTACCAAGACTGGGGCAACAACCTAGAGCAGCCAACTCTACCCTCTGCTCCCCTCCTTATCACCTCCCAAGGGCGGTCAGTGCTTCTGGCTTCCCCTCTGACTCACCATTCTCCATTATTCTCAAGAAAATGAAGTCTGGAAGCAGCATTATCAGAACTAATTTTTAGAGATTATAAATGTCTAGATTCAATCAGGTGGTTCTACAGTTGAGTCAAGCAACTTTGGCTAAAAACCTTTGGTCAAGGGAGGGTCCCTGCTCAGAAATACTGCTTTTTTCTTTTTCATTGAAGTGATTCAATGTGAGCCTTTGGAGGCCCCTGATTTGGGGACCATGGACTGTAGTCACCCCTTGGGGAACTTCAGCTTTACCTCCATGTGCACCTTCAACTGCTCAGAAGAAACGGAGTTAATCGGGGAGAGGAAAACTATTTGTGGATCATCTGGAATCTGGTCAAGCCCTAGTCCAAAATGTCAAAGTGAATAAATGTGCCCTGATATACTGAAGATTTAAAAATGGAGTTGGTAGATGGGGAGATAATGGGGGAAGATATATTAAACTTTTAAATTTCATTTTGCTAAATGTGTATGGCCTAAAGATAAATTTGTACACATTAATTTACTGTAAAATCCTGGGCTGTTCTATGTCTTCCTTCAATGGCAACCATTTCTTTCTTCAGCTGATTTTCAACTCCTATCTTAATTCTTAACATCTAAAGGCACTGTCTCTGACTTATTTCTTATTCATTCTTCTATTCTACTACTATCTTGCTTCCGTTAGTCCAGTAAAATGTCCCGACAAAGGTCACCAGTGACCACCTAATTCCCAAAATAGTGGATATTTCTCCATTATCACTAAGCTGATGCCTCCTTAATCTGTGTATGAGAAGGACTCTGTCTTCCTCATTTCCATGGACTCTCCACTTGACACGGTGCCCAAGCTAAATCAGGTAAATAAATAAGTTGTCCTCTGTTTGGATCATCTGGGAACTTGAGCTTTTTTGCTATTATATATTTGGGTGTGAGAGTGGAAGCACCTTGAAAGAATTCATCAAAGTAACACCAAGAATAAGGGACACAGACCCTGTACTAATATGCAAAAGTACATTTGTTTAATTCATGGTATTGGAACATAGACTTTTTTCATATGGGTAGTTTTTCAACAAAAGCTCCCAAATGAACTTAGTTCACTCTTTCAAGAGGATATAGGTGTATCCATCTACTTATTTGTGAAGGAAGTAGAAATATGTGGTAGGACCACATCATTTAAAAGACAGTTTAGTGTAGGTCCTTGGATGCAAACAACAAGTGCATATGTTTGCACAGCTGTTTCAAAGTAAAAGCACTAATAATTTCCTTTGATTGATATGTTACCTGGTTCAGATCACTGGCTTTTATTTTTCTTGAAGTCTTATTAGACATGTTAGGTCTTCTCAGTATCGTAGAATCCCAACTATTGAACAAAGCCGTGGAAATAAATACAGTGATGACCACTTTTTGCCAAGATTTTTAGGTACTTCTTCTGGGAGTTCCATGAATTGCAAATCTGGAGACTAAGAATTTATAGGCATTGGGCTAGAAAAGTTTGTCCTGTCTCTGCTTCTGCTGTAGGCTCATCATGGTCTTTCCCATGCCAGTTTCATCATCTATCAAAGGGCATCAAATGGGCTATTACTGGGAGACGTGGGGAGGAACAAAGCCTAATGTCATGATATGGCACTAAGTACATAGTGCTGTGGCCTCGTGCTCTGTTCCTTACTGATCTCTCTTTCAGAAGTGGACAGGAGTTTCTCAATGATCAAGAAGGGTGACTATAACCCTGTCTTCATTCCGGTGGCAGTCATGGTTACTGCTTTTGCTGGGCTGGCATTTATCATTTGGCTGGCGAGAAGATTAAAGAAAGGTATGTGAGTTTGCCTTCATATGAAAGTAATACAATTCAAAATGGAAAAAATATAGAAACACACAAGAAATTAAGTATGATCAGTTCAACCGAAGCAAGATACCAAGCTCTGTGTTCTATAGACATCATCCCTGAGGATGTGTGAAACAGCCCATGCATACTTCCATTAAAACAAGTTGGCCGATTTGTGATTTTCATCTGACAAACCTTTTAAAAATGTCTACTGTCTTCAAGGCACCATGCTAGGGTGATAATAGACAAATGAGATATTTTAATGGTTCTTTGCTCTTCTTTAATTCTGAAAAAAAAAGGACGTATAATCTCTGTCCTCTAAGAGCCTAAATGCCTTTGATCTCAATGCTACAATTCCACTAGAAAAGGAATCTAATGTCCAATAAGGTTTTTAAGGCACTGTTCCCCAAAACCTGAGTCACATATCTGTCTGGCTTCTTACGTGTGGGAATTGCATTGTCTCTGGAAAAAAAATCCTCACGTTTTCCCCCCTGTGTCTATTCACTGAGGTCACAGTTCTAACCAAATGCACTGCATTTGCCTCCCCTCCACTCTGGCCTGGAGAAGAAAAGGGAATAAGGAGGGCTGTTTGAGAAGCCAATAGCTACTGCCTGGCACAATACATGGGACACCACCAGGGAAAAACAACAGCATCACTCCCCTCACCTCCCTCCTGAGTATGTCCAAACCTTAAAGTGGGACCGACTTGCTGGTTATAGGCCCACAGTCTGTGGCAGACCCTGAGTATGCACTGCCACACTTGGCCAAACTCACCTGGCAGAAACGTTTAAGACTAGGAAATTCATGGACATTAGCAGCTTTTGAGATATCACTGCCTTAAGTTCAGAGGCCATTAATGATCTCAAAATAACTGCTAACCAACTGCTTGGTGTGCCTTTCTATGGAGTCAGTTGATTGCCATTTTAATTTTACTTCCATCAGTTAATTAGTATGTATTCTGTTCAATGAGTATGGTCTATAAAGGCTGCCTCTCACCCATCCTCACTGCCAGTTGCAGGAATGTTATCTACCAATCCCTAGTGGTCTTCTACTGTGATCTGATCTTTCATTCCAAATATAAGAATGATACTAGATTATTTTTATAACCAACCCAGAAAGATGATGGAAGGGGGCACTGTTGATGTGCAAGAGCTTCCTTCATGTCAAGTGAGGGCCCTGATCCGCTCACGTGTCTCTGCTCCTGCTCTTGGAAATTCTGCTAAGACTGGATCCCATCATCTTACAGTACGATATGAAGTACTCAAGTATTACTCTAAGGCATAGGAAGAATGAGATTTTTTTTCTCCCGCCATTGATTATCCTTTCCATTGAGACTTCAAAGCCTGACCCCAATTGTCTTTTTTTCCCTCCTACCTTGGATGATGGTGACAGAACTGAGGGGTAGAGAATGCAGTGGACCATTACACACCACCCTCTGGGAGACGGGGCTGTTCTCTAAATAACCTTTAAGGATTTGGGGGCTGGGAGTCATCTTAATAAGTAGGATATCCCCAAATTCCAAAGTCTTTTAATAACTGTTAGTAGAATCTAAAGACTAGAATGAAGTCACTTGTATTCAGTGGCAGGGTGTGGGGTGCAGGGCGGGGGTTAGCTGGCGAAGGTGGCTCAGCAGGGGTGAGAAAAGCAGTGGGGTTGTTTTTAAATTTTTTTTACCCTGGAGTCATTTCTGTACAAGATCTCAAGCTGATAACCTGAAAACTACATGCCCCTGCTGTGGGAATAAGTGTGGGGCAAACAGGAAATAGATAACGGGCAGTTGGGCTAGATAAATGTATGCCAACAAAAAGAACAGAAGCCCCCGAAGATCACTGACTCTGTAGGAGAGTCAGGGTATCTTTAATGTAGCATTTTAATAGCCTTCATTTGTGGAACATCTGATATTTCCAACTTTCAAGTGACTTTATCTTCCAAAGATTGTAGTTGTAAGTTAGTTCTTTGCAACAAGAATGTTTCTCCTATAGAAACAGTGTTAGGAATGATGGTTAAGTTCCCAGGTTAACCCCCCAGAGCTTTTCTAACAGTGTAGCTGACACATTTACAAGAAAAAAAAGTTAAAAGCAATAAATCTGCATGTGTATAGTAGTTATCAACTCTGAGGAATTCATATGTGTTTTGGGTTCAGCAAGCTGGAAAAAGAGGACAGGTGAATATTTAGGACATAGTAGCCAGTGAAATGACTAGATTCTTGACTCCTGTCCTGTCCTTGGATGGATCTTCTGAACCTGCAGTTTGATACCTGCCCTAGTTGTCTTGATATCCGGGCTTTTGCTCCGTTCTTCTGGAAAAGACATAAATGCAAGCTCCAGAAATGCATGCCCGTCTGTATGGGCTTGTCTAGAAACACTTTTCCCCCTCGATAACCATTCTCTGATTAGTCATTATCATTGGCCCTGTTTGATAAAGAAACTGAGGCAGGGATTTTAGGTCAAATGTCTCAAATCCCATATCAGCAGGGGCCAGAATCAGAGAGCAGACTCCCATCCACACATGCCCCTTAACACCAATGGTCTTCAGATTAATGAAGCTCTTGGTTGGAAGACTTATTCCCCACCTGAACCAACCCACAAGGTTAGAACAAGACATGAAACTGAACATATGCCCCTTAGTTCCTTTTATTCAAAAAGAACTCTCTCAGTAGTAACAGATTCTTGCTCATGTATTGTTATGTGTGTCATTGTTCCTAAAAGGAAAACATATTTATATGAAGATAAACAAACAGAACCTTAAGTTAATTAAGATTTAATTCTCTTTGCTCAAATGCAAACAGCCAATGTCATCAGCAGGCTGAATTTTGGAGGAAATGTGTAAAAGAGTAAATTCTAACATTTTAAAGGTTTAAAACAATATCTGAGGCTGTGTATGTGGTAGGCCCTGACCTAAGCAGTTTGAATACGTTTTATTTTACCAACTCAGTGAAGAATCATGCTCCTTTCACAGATGAAGGAACTGTGGCTTGAGAGGCTAAGCAGCTATTCAGAGACACACCACAGTTGATAAAACAGGATTTGCACTCAGACTGGATGATTCTAGAGCTCCAGTTTATAGCCACTGAAACACAGTGCTTCCCAGTGATTTTTTTTTTCTCAAAAAGCTTTTTTTTTTTTTTTTTTTGCTTTTATTTCCTCTGGAGTCCAACTCTGCAGTTCTTTCATTAATCTATTTATTTATACTCTTTTCTTTTTCAGAAATAATGTAAGATGGTTTATGAAATGTATTCAACATAGTAAGTTAAAATTAGTTTAAAAGTAGGTAAGGAAAGGAAGGCCAAAATTTAGGGCATAAAAAGAAGTTGGAGCAAGAGGTGAAGTTAGTACACAAAAATGTGTGTCACACTTGATAGAAAAGGGTCTCAGCTCTGGCTCTGTTTCCCAGCAGCCAGTCAAAGAAGGGAGCGTAAATAGTTATGATATTTACTGTGTTTGTAAGATAAAAACACATCAGTTACTCAGATGAATGAGTAATTCCTGCCACCGAGACCCGAGTGAAATTTCTTTGTGGATTCTCACAGACAAGGTAGTGTGAGACGTAATGACACATATTCTCACAGTATTAGTAGCCAAGTCTCTTAGGGAAGAATCTGCAGGTGGGCTGAGATGGTGGGTGGGAAGAGGTAAACACATGTATAGGCATAGCGGGACTGACCATCAGGCAATTCGGGCTAGACTTCTGTCTCTATGATCGGCATAAAGGATGAAATGGAATGCAGAAGCATCTGTATCAATGGGTCTATTATGTATGAATATATACCACTGTTTGAATTAGCACATTAAGCCAGCATCTCAAATCCCCTTACACACAGCTGAGGTCCACCAACAAATACACAATACACCTCAAAAGCCAATTTTGGGAATAGGACTCTGCCTTCTCTCTTACAATTGGACTTGTCTACTTTCACTGATGCCATTTTTCCTATTTCTTCTATTTTTAGGTAAAGAGTCCCAGGAAAGGTAAGTTTCATCAGCGAGAAGTTTCTACATCTGTTGATCTTTTCTCTACCTTCCTTGAGACACTTCCTGTTATAGCTAGACATGTTAACTCCTTAGTAAGTATTTACATGAGGTCTCATTCAAATGAAGTTTCCATATAAAGTGATAATCCACCAGCCTCCTCTAAAAGCTGTGCTTTTGGCTTTTTTGTGTGTGGGTGGTTTTGTTTTAGTGCCAGGGGATTAGAATGATTGATTGAATGAATGAATGAATGAATGAACAAATAATGCCCTATTAAGAAAGGACAGTTATGTGAAGGGAGCTCTTTCTGATTATCCCTGAATTTTCTATAAGGATTGGAAGCATGATGATTTCTCTTCTTGTCCTAGAGGAATATAAGGGCAATACCAAATACAGTTTTCGGGAAACATTCAATTCATCAAGCATTTATTGAGAAACTAATAAATCCCAGGCCCTAAGAAGGTATAATTCTGGACCCCAGGCCTTCAGTGCCTAGTATAAGAATGTAAATGACTACTGCTCTGATAAGCATTGACCTTCAGAAACGTGAAAGAGGTAGGGAACGTGAATTCTGCCTGTGGCTTCCGCAATGAGGCAATTTTTTTTTAGCTTGGTCTTGAACCTCAGATTTTTTCAGCTGGAGAAACACAGACTGAGAAGCAATGCAGGCATATGTAAATACACGGTTCAGTTGGCAGAATTGAACATGGCAAAACATTTCTCAGTTTCAGGGGTTCAGTGACTTGCTTATAGATTTTGGGAAGGAGAGTATAAGTAGGAAGAACTATGAAAGTGAGACTTTGGTGACATACTGAGGGCCCAGTTAGAAAACTGAGCTCGTTTTAAAATGCTGGAAGAAGCAGGATGGTCCCTGAGGATGTTGGTTGCTTGTTCAGGCAACCATGCTACCAACCACAAATTGTTATGAAGAAGTTCTTACTAGTTCAGTGAACTGTAGCTTTGAGTGCAAAAGAGAAACCATGAGCCTCAACTATAGGGAACAAACTTAGGGTTGCTGGTGTGGGGGGTGGGGTGGGGGGGATGGGGCGGGTGATGGGCATTAAGGAGGGCACATGATGTAATGAGCACTGGGTGTTATATGCAACTGACGAATCACTAAATTCTACCCCAAAACTGATAATATCCTATATGTTAACTGAATTGAATTTAAATAAAATATTAAAAAAAGAGAAACTGGGGAGATATAAGGCAACATAAGCCAGATCATAGAGTAATTTATAAGCCATATTAAGGAACATGGACTTAATCCTCAGGTCTTTTTGGATAAAGCAGGTGAATGTCATGCTGAAATTTTCACCTTATGAGGGATCATTCTGCAAACAGGGGAGTTGGGTGAGCCTGGAGGCAAATAACTGATTTGGAGGCATTTGAAGTTACTAGGTTAAAGCTGATGGTGCCTGTCTAGAGAAATAGCAGTGAGGTTGAGTTCATGAGGTAAGAGGTAAAATCAAGTGACTATGGTAATTAATTCGCTAAGTGGGAGAGAGAAGAATCAAAGAAGTCATCGTAGTTTTGATCGGGAACTGGTGGATGGTTCCTATCTATACTATACTATTTACTGAGAAGGAAACATAAAAGAATGAGAAGTTTTGGAGGTGGAGATCATAGGTTCAGTTTTGTCTGTGTTGAGCTTTAGGTGTCTGTGGCTCATCCACAGTTGATTGGTTCAGTCTGTTGCACAGGGGCCACCTTGGGGCAGGAGAGTGGATCTGGGGTTTCTCACATTCCAGGAGGTTAACTGCTCTTTTGGGAGCAGGTACAGTCATCTGGGAAGTGTGTGGAGTGGGAGAACAGAAGATGATGTGGGAGAGAGGGCAGGAACCTGGGTAAAATCCATATCAAACAGGGTGACAAGGGGCACCTGGGTGGCTCAGATGGTTAAGCGTCTGCCTTCAACTCTGGTCATGATCCCAGGGTCCTGGGATCGAGTCCCACGTCGGGCTCCTGGCTCAGCGGAGAGCCTGCTTCTCTCTCTCCCTCTGCCTCTCCCCCTGCTCATGCTCTCTCTCTCTCTCTGTATCCCTGTGCCTCAAATGAATAAATAAAAAAAAATCTTTAAAAAAACAAAACAAAACAAAAATGGGTTGACTGAGGAAAAGGAGAATGGGGAGAAGTTGCCAGAGAGGCAGAAGGAAGATGAGGAGAGTCTGGGTTATGAATGCCAAGGAAAGAAGGAAGTAGAAATTGTTTCAAGGGCTTCTGGGAGAACCAGTGAGTTCTCACTGAACGTAACAAGGGTATCAGTGCAGAGACTGTTCTGTTTGAGGTCATGATGGAAGAAGTCTGATAGCCAGGTGTTTAAGGTTCAGTGGGGATGAGGAAGTAGAGGCAGAACACGTAAGCCATCTCTTTTTAAAAAGCTTGCCTAGGAGATGAGACAGGAACTGGATGACTGGATAAGAACATCAGGTCAGTGGAGGTTCTCATATTCTATTTTATTTTATTGCCCTATCTTCCATTCAATACTGTAGATGGGGACCTAGACCCTTCTCTGGGCTGGGCTCCCTATCTCTGTGGGCAGGAAATCCACAAGATGTAAAGATCTCTTTCATGCTCACACCCAGTGAGTGAAAGTATTTTCTGGCACAATCCACCCAGAGCTGTTTTCTCGTCACAGGAACCACCTGTTTTTTAATTGCCACTAGATGGAAGCAGATCAATTCAATTTTTTAGGAGACCTTGGGGGACAGGAAGAGAGGCTGGCAGGAAGAGTATTAGCATTAAGTTCATTACCACACTCAGCTAATTGCCATATTAAGTTTAACGGCTCACTGATTTTTACAATGAATCAATCAATTATTGTTTATTGCATACTTTTGTGTTGGAACAATGCTAAGCTTGACTGAGACACCAAGAAGAGTAAGTCCTTGACCCTGACCTCAGGGAGATTATTATCTAGTTGAGCAGTGAAGACAAAAAAATAAAAAAAAATATTTTCAGAAAAATATAAGGCAGAGGATGGTAATAGACAATGAACTCTGTGTTAAAGGACTTTTTCAATACAGAAGAAGCTTGTTGATCACAGAAAATCTTATAAAGAAGGTGAACCCTGGGTTGGTTTTGAAGAATGGATGGGATTTAGGTGTATGAAGAGAAGCAGGGGAGACTACAGGGAAATGATTTAAACACGCTATGGTAGTGGGGCTGGGGCAGCGTGTTCGGGGGGCAGTGACTGGAACTGCCAGGAGTCCAGGGTGTAGAGGAGCTGTGAACAGAAGTTGGAAAGGAAGGCTGGCCCCATCAAGATAGGTCCTGAATGAGTCACCAGATGTTCTAGAAGGACTTAGCAAAGAAGCAGTATTTGCCCAGCTGCCTTGAGACACCTCTCATTTATTGACCAAAGTGACTTTAATTCATAGAATTATAAAATTTTAGGTCTTGAAGGGATCTTGATGGACATCATTTTCAAACTCTATAACTGAGCTAAAGAACTTTCCTATAGGCCCTGAGCTAGTGACATAGTTAAGATAATTGTAAACCTTTATGAAACATTAATTCCATGCTGCACACTGCTCTGAGTGTTTTAGGTGTCTGAAATCATTCAATGTTGCCTACAAGCCTGTGGGGAAGAAGTACTATTAATACTCTCATTTTATAGGTGAAGGAACTGAGGTAAAGAGAAACAAAATATCTGGTCTGAGGTCACTGAATAAATGAAAAAGCTGAGATTTATATCCATCTGGATCCAAAGATCATGCTTCATCCTTATGCTTCTAGAACTCAGGACTCAGTGATTGAGCCCTAAGTCCCAGACACCCTCCTCTCCCAGTGATGCGATGACTTTTCTCTCCGAAACCATTTGTGATGGTACTGAGGAAGGGTGGGATGGAAGAAGTAGAGTGTGTTTCTAGAACAAGCCAAACATAAAATGAAAACCATCACACTAAATATTGGAGCATTTTTTTAAAGCCCTGGCGCCAACCTGCATAGTCCTGTGTGCTCATACTTAAAAGTTTTTCGCTGGTGAATGACCAACAGCTAGGGCATTTGTGGTTTCAATTCTTGCCAGGTTATTTTCACTCTTCTGCAAATTGGTTCTGTTTACCACCTCATTTGGTTTCTAGTGTCTAAATTCTGCCTGGGTAAAAGCTACACCCAAGATACACAGGAAGATACGATGCCAACCTCAGTGGAGGGTATATGTGAAATTTTGTTTTCAGAAACATTTTTATCTCTGTATTGGCAAGCACATTTGCGGCTGCTGAACTGTGGTTTACCCTGGCAGTTCATCATGAGAGCAGAGTCTCAGAATCTGGTTCTCCCTTTGAAACGTGCTATTAAGACATGCCATAATTGCCTCCCCGCTCCCTCCCCCCTCCCCCATCCCCTGCAAGAATGAGACAACTGTGTCACATACACACAAAAAGGTGTCATTTACTTCATGAAACTAGATTTGTAACCATTTCCTTAAATCATGTCCCACCAGAATCAGGCATTTAGAGTTACTACCATACCTTTCATAAGTTTTGATTTTTCTCTAATTTTTCTTTCTATTTGAGCATTGTCAACTTCTACTTTTCATTGACTGCCCACCACTCAAAGTCTATCTAAAATGCCCTTCATACTCATTTGATCCTAAAACAAAGGTTGTGCCCCAGAAATGTCTCCAGGTGTGGTCCATGGACCAGCAGCATGAGCATCACCAAAGAGCTTGTGAGAAATGCAGAATCTCAGGCCCCACCCAGACCTACTGAATCAGTCTGCATTTTAACACCACCTCTGGGTGGCAAGCACCTGCAAGTGTGAGAAGCATTGCTTTAGGGTTTTCTTCTCATTCTTTTGCCTTAGTGAATGTCCTGTGTCTTGTCCAACCTATCTGAAAGGCATTTCCTTCACTCCTTTTCTGACGTTCAGTGAATATTTACCTTTACTAACACTGTTAAGTTTTGCAATTTTTAATCTCCTTATTTTAATTTATATTCTCCTGTTTTTCATTCAGCACAAATGATCCATATTAAAGCAACCTCTGTGAAAAAAAATTCTTGGGATACTAAAGTGTCACTGGATCCTTCAAATCCCTCCCTGAAAAGTATCTCATGGTGGTGTCTCCTATATTGAAGATGGAGTGCTTCTCTTTCTCTGCATCTGGAAAGATTTCTACAGGATCAGCAGCTCTTTCTGCTCCCTATGTGCCCCTCACCCACCCCTGCACCCCTGCCTACAGTTGTGCTTTACATTGCTTGTGTTTTATTCTCTTTTTCATGGACCATGGGGGGAGAAGATGGCTTTGGAATATAAAGATGTCCGATTTTGCTCTCTATCTTGACTCCATTTCCAGTTCCAACTCAGTGCTGTCCCTGATGACCTTCTGTACCTGATGACCTTAAATACAGTGGAAACTTGATACATGTGTTCCTACAGACTCGATTTTGTTGCAAGTCACATTTTATCTCCCCTGCCCTCCAGTCGCTTCTAGGGGTACATTCTTAGAGATAAGTTCATAAAAGTGATGTTATCCAACTCCAGCAAAGTAATGGAGTTCAGCTCCAAACAGAGAAAGTCCTACTTGCACAGTAGCGTCACCTTCTGTAAATGGAGGCCATCCTATTTAATTGCCTCAAGCCTCTCCACCTTCTGTCTCCTCTTCCCAGTTGGCTGGCTTCCACAGGTAGCATCTCATGAGCACCAAACCAAAAGAGAGAAGAGCGAGATAGCCTGCACTGATTTTTTTTTTTTTTTTGGTTTTCAGTGTTGCTCTTTTTATTGGACCTACAAAGATGTCTTGTATTTGATGTTTTTTTTTTTTAGCGACCACTATATTGTTAATAAAAAACATCACCAGAATGCTAGCTGCAGGCAACATGTCTTTGATGTCAGTTTAAACAAGAAGAAAGAGATTCCTCCCACCCCAGACCTCTTACCCATCTACCGAGATTCTCTCTAGTCTTTAAGATCCATCTCAAACACCCTCCCCATCCCACCTCCACTTCTTTCATAATTAGTCCTTTCATTGCTAGTCCAGACCTGTGGCCTCCTGCGGCAAGATTAGTCTACAACATGCAGTTTTGTACTTAGGGTTTTTTTTAATGTTACCTGGTCTGTTATTTCAAAATTTATCATGCGTATGTTTTCTCTCAGTGAAATTCTACCCTCCTTAAAGACAGAGAATGTGTCACATCCATGGAGTGTCTAGCTCATTACTAGACACTCAGTAAATGTGGATTCATGTAACTCAGAAAGAGCATACAGTGTACTGTTGATATAAGTTGCAGCAAAACCTCTCTCCATGCATGTAATGACTTGAACAGATACTCCTCTAATGTGGCTAACTTCTTACAACAGAATAGGGGCCTGGTAAAAACTAGTTGAAATCCCTTCTTGCCCCATGGTCAATACCGCTTTCATACAAGAGTATACATGTTATGATAATGATTTTTTGCTAATGATTGTATTTTCTTTCCTCAAATCCATCTCAGATCCTGCTTTACAATATGAGCTGTTGCAAAAAAAATTCTCCATGTTCTATACTATGAATCTAGGCTATACCTTTCACCTTCATGTAACTTAAGATATACCCTTTAGAGTTACACAGTGTACAACCTGCACAGACTCACACAGCAGCCCTGATTGCAAGGCCTTATTTGACTAGGACATCAGAATCAAAGACACCACATGGTGGCTACTTCTTGGGAATAAGATGTGTATAAACTTAAAAACAGTCCTTTGTTTGAGCCCTAAGGATTATGTATGATCCTGGGAATTATGTCATGCTATATCTGTTAGATAAAGACTCATTTTAGACCCAAAGACACCCCCAGATTGAAAGTGAGGGGGTGGAAAACCATTTACCATGCTAATGGACACCAAAAGAAAGCTGGGATGGCA